CGTCATTGATGATTGTACTCCCCACCTTATGTGTAACTCAAAATAATAATAATAAATAAATAAATAAGTTAGGAATGCATAATTTTCGCATTTATTTCCCAAACATTCTATTGTCCTATTTTTAGATTTAACCTTCTATTGTTTAAGAAATTTTGATTTAGATGGTGGTTAAAATATTTCTTAGGAGGAAGTAAAGAGACTTATTTACTTTTGTATTATTAAATAAGATAAATAACATACACAATAAACTCGACAAAATAATTTCTCCAAGCTAAGAAAATGATTTGGACGAAAAGGTCATCATAGTCAACATGTGATAATAACGAAAAAAGTAGAGACGATTGTGAAAATGTATAAAAATTGAGAATCTTCGTTTGCAATCAACAAAATTTTTAGTGCGAGTATAATTATCCTTATCAAGCATCTACACTTTTTATATGTTGTAGATGTAAGTGTAAATAAACATGATGGTAAATATCTTTGGTTTGGTCAAAATTGAAAATAAGATCACTATTTTACTATCATATAAAACACGTTTGAAAATACAAGCTTAGTTGTAAGCAAAGTCGAATACGCACACAATCATAAGGCGTTCTTAGTAAAGCATCATATCCAAAACCTACCGGCCAATAATATTACAATGAAAACCTTCGACTATGTAAACGAAGAAGAGAGAGAAAAGGAAAGCTCAAGTACTCATACTCAGTACTATTACAAGATCAAACTTAATCATCTGAATTTCTAGTCATGAAATTCTTTAATTCTTGTAATACTTTGTCACCCACTTCTGAGAATGGTTCATCTGTAAAGAAACCATGTTGCTTTCCTTGGAACACAACACAATGAATTTTCTTTCCCTCTTCTTTCAAATTTTTGACATAATCCTTCTATCCTTCATCAACTCACTTCCTCCTACAATAACCTGAATCGGGTCAAGCTTTATGGATTCAAAACTTGGACTTAACGGCCCAAAAATGTTTGCAAACGGATGATATCGAGTGCTCCCATCTGGTAACGATAACCTCCAAAATCTGTCAATAAAAAAAAATAATAATAATAAATAAATTTAAAAAAAAAAAAAAAAAAAACTTAAAAACATTGCAAATGCAATCATTTAGACTTGACCCTGATTTAATTATAGAAAAATCTGTCAAGCACACCATCAAGATCCAAGAGTGATTACTTGTTTTACAAAAAATATTACTTCCTTTCAATCTCGATTCACTATAATATGAAAAATAATCTAATCTACTCTCCCTCTAAGGCATGGTCTCTATCATACTAAAGTTATTATCATGAAAAAGAATCAAGATTCAACAATAGTGTATATTCCACATTAATAATAATTAGGTGATTTGTTTTCAATAATATCAAGATCATGTTTAATGTCAACATTCTAATGTTTTCCACATACCAATTGACAACATACATGCAAGATTTTAAATTGTTTCCTAGTAAATAATATTGTTCGATGCTCTGTAGCCAATCTATTTAATAAACAAGTTCAATGTCCATATAATTATGGGGAGCCACTATTTACATTCACAATTTTCATATATCTATCCACTTTAAAAAAAATTATGTATTTCACATTTAACTTTATGTAAATTTAATTACATAAATAGACAAAAAAAATCTATCACTCTTAATTCATCCACTAATATTTTGGACTTTTTATATCCTTTTTTATTTTACATTTAAATACAATCCTTATATTTATTAAATATCACTTTCAATTAAAGCCAAAACAAATAATGGAAGACGCAACATTACAAGATATGCATACAAGAAATACATAGTTATAGAAGGATACAGTCGGCTTGAAATTATTTTAATACTTTTGACAATAAATATTATGCTCATAGTTAATTACCTTGGCTAAAAAATTTTAACAATTAAAACAATTTTTTCCTTTCATAATCATTCTTAATGACCAATAATATAGACGTTAACCAAGTTGTCATAAACTTTCAACGACCAAAAAAATCGGTTGTTGAATGTTACCTTTAACGACTATGTAATACTAGTCGTTGAATGTCGAAAATTATTTTGATGCCAATTAGATTTGGTAACTAGGTTGTCATAAACTTTTAATGACTAAAAATAATTGGTCGTTGCATATCAGCTTCAACGGCCACTAAATAAATAGTTGTTGAATACAACGAGATTATGGTCGTTGAATATTTACTATATTATATGTGTTTCCAACAACCAATTTTGTTGTCGTTGAATATGCAATGATTTTTTAGCTGGAATTTTTGACTTGGCCCCCACTCACAACAACCAATTTTTATTTGGTTGTCGAAAATATAGAATTAACAACTAATTTTTTGGTCGTTATGAGATATTTTCAACTAATTTAAAATTATATTGTTCATCATTCAATTTTTACAACCAAACTTATAATTTAGTTGTTGAAAAGAGTTTTTAACGACCAAATTGATGTGGCTGTTAAAACATTAGTTGTAAAATATCATTTTTCTTGTAGTGAAGCTAAGAAAATGATTTGGACGAAAAGGTCATCAGAGTCAAGATGTGATAATTAATTGAAAGTTAAAGGTAATACTGCAATGAAAAATGTAGAGACGGTTGTGAAAATGTATAAAAACTAGGAATCTTGCAATTAACAAAATTTTTAGTGCGAATATAATTACTTTATCAAGCATTTACACTTTTTATATGTTACAGATGTAAGTACAAATAATCATGATGGTAAATGTCTTTTGTTTGGTTAAAATTGAAAATAAGATCACTATTTTACTATCATATAAAACACGTTTGAAAAACAACCTTAGTTGTAAGCAAAGTCAAATACACACACAATCATAAGGCGTTCTTAGTAATACATCATATCCATAATGTTATCATGAAAACCTTTGACTATGTAAACGAAGAAGTAAGAGAAAAGGAAAACTCAAGCACTCGTACTTGGTACTATTACAAGATCAAACTTAATCATCTGAATTTCTCGTAATGAAATTCTTTAATTCTTGTAATACTTTGTCACCCACTTCTGAGAATGGTTCATTTGTAAAGAAACCATGTTGCTTTCCTTTGAATACAACACAATGAATTTTCTTTCCCTCTTCTTTCAATCTTTTGACATAATCCTCAATTCTATCCTTCATCAACTCACTTCCTCGTACAATTACGAGCATCGGGTCAAGCTTTATGGATTCAAGACTTGGACTTAAAGGCCCAAAAGGGTTTGCCAACGGATGATCTCGAGTGCTCCCATCTGGTAACGATAACCTCCAAAATCTGTCAATTATTAAATAATAATAATAATAATAATAATAATAATAATAAAACATTGCAAATGCAATCCATTTAGACTTGACCCTGATTTAATTATAGAAAAATCTGTCAAGCACACCATCAAGATCCAATAGTGATTACTTTTTTTACAAAAAATATTACTTTCTTTCAATCTCGATTCACTATAATATGAAAAATAATCTAATCTACTCTCCCACTAAGTCACGGTCTCTATCATACTAAAGTTTATTATCATGAAAAAGAATCAAGATTCAACAACAGTGTATATTACACATTAATAATAATTAGGTGATTTGTTTTCAATAATAAGACATCAAGATCAAGTTTAATGTCAACATTCTAATGTTTTTCAAATTAGCAATTGACAACATACATACAAGATTTTAAATTGTTTCCTAGTTGATAATATTGTTCGATGCTCTGTAGCCAATCTATTTAGTAAACAAGTTCAGCGTCCATATAATTATAGGGTGCCACTATTTGCATCCACGATTTTCATATATCTATCCACTTTTAAAAAATTTATATATTTCACATTTCGCCTTATGTAAATTTAATTACATAAACAGACAAAAAAATCTATCACTCTTAATTCATCCACTAATATTTTGGACGTTTTATATCCTTTTTGATTTTACGTTTAACTAAAATCATAATATTTATAAAATATCACTTTCAATTAAAACCAAAACAAATAATGTAAGAGACAACATTACAAGATATGCATACAAGAAATACATAGTTATAGAAGGACACAGTCGGCTTGAAATTATTTTAATACTTTTGACAATAAATATTTTGTTTATAGTTAATTAACTTAGTTAAAAAATTTAAACAATTAAAACAATTTTTTTTCTTTCATAATCATTCTTAATGACCAATAATATAGCCGTTGAATGTCGTAAACTATTTTGGCACCAAATTAAAGTTGTTAAACACATTGTCATAAACTTTCAATGACCAAAAAAATCAGTTGTTGAATGTTACCTTTAACGACTATTTAATACTAGTCGTTGAATGTCGAAAATTATTTTGATGCCAAATTATATTTGGTAACTAGTTTGTCATAAACCTCTAATGACTAAAAATAATTGGTCGTTGCATATCACCTTCAACGGCCACTAGTTAAATAGTTGTTGAATACAACGAGATTATGGTCGTTGAATATTTACTATATTATATGTGTTTCTAACAATCAATTTTGTTGTCGTTGAATATGCAATGATATTTTAGCAGGAAATTTTTACTTGGCTCCCACTCACAATGACCAATTTTTATTTGGTTGTCAAAAATATAGAATTAATAACTAATTTTTTGGTCGTTGTGAGATATTTTCAACTAATTTAAAATTCTATTGTTCATCATTCAATTTCTACGACCAAACTTATAATTTAGTTTTTCAAAAGAGTTTTTAACGACCAAATTGATGTGGTTGTTAAAACATTAGTTGTAAAATATCATTTTTCTTGTAGTGAAGCTAAGAAAATGATTTGGATGAAAAGGTCATCAGAGTCAAGATGTGATAATTAATTGAAAGTTAAAGATAATAATGCAACGAAAAATGTAGAGACGGTTGTGAAAATGTATAAAACTGGGAATCTTGCAATTAACAAAATTTTTAGTGCAAATATAATTACACTTGTCAAGCATCTACACTTTCTATATGCTGTAGATGTAAGTATAAATAATCATTATGGTAAATGTCTTTTGTTTGGTCAAAATTGAAAATAAGATCACTATTTTACTATCATACAAAACACTTTTAAAAAACAAGTTTAGTTGTAAGCAAAGCCGAATAAGCACACAATCATAAGACGTTCCTAGTAAACCATCATATCCAAAACCTGCCAGCCAATAATGTTACAATGAACACCTTCGACTATGTAAACAAAGAAGCGAGAGAAAAGGAAAACTCAAGCACTCGTACTTGGTACTATTACAAGATCAAACTTAATCATCTGAATTTCTAGTAATGAAATTCTTTAATTCTTGTAATACTTTGTCACCCACTTCTGAGAATGGTTCATTTGTAAAGAAACCATGTTGCTTTCCTTGGAACACAACACAATGAATTTTCTTTCCCTCTTCTTTCAATTTTTTGACATAATCCTCAATTCTATCCTTCATCAACTCACTTCCTCCTAGAATTACCAGCATCGGGTCAAGCTTTATGGATTCAAGACTTGGACTTAAAGGCCCAAAAGGGTTTGCAAACGGATGATCTCGAGTGCTCCCATCTGGTAACGATAACCTCCAAAATCTGTCAATTATTAAATAATAATAATAATAATAATAATAATAATAATAAGAGACTCTGTGAGTGTTAAATAAGCTTTATTTTAAACTCGTAGTTAGTTTTCGTTGAATAAAATGTATAAGTTTAGAGATTTTAACCTCTCTTTGATCACAAAAGGTATTCAATTATTTGTGAATCAAAGATTTGTAAGAAATAATGGCTGGGTCACGATTGTAAAATTTCTGAAGTAAATTTCGAAGTTGTATGCTGGATTTAAATTCTATTACTTGCTTATTGAATTCCAATTCAACAAGCTTCCATTTATTAAATTTGCTCACTGACAATTTCTCACACGATATAACCTCTGTATAGTGGACTAAATTTTAGTTTCATTCCTGTTGCACCAGTGTGTAAGTAATCAAGACAATAATTTGATTCTATAATTTTGTTAATTCCCAAAAGTTTACTTGGTAAACATTAATTCATTCATGTAATTTTTTTAATTTGCTTTTGGTTAGATTTTGTGGATATATAATATTTAAATGAATGAATTTAATAAAAGTAATGTTGGAATGTAATGGGAGATGAATATATTATATTTTTAAAATTATAAAATTTTAATAAGGATAGATTTGGAGTGGATGAAATATAAAGGTGGTGTTGATATATGAATAGAGTTTAAATGAATTAATTTAATAAGGGTATTATTAGAATGTGACGTGGATAAATATAGTACTTTTAAATTTTAATAAGGATAGATTTAGAGTAGGATAGATATATAAGAATGGTGGATTAGAAATACGGGACCCTAGTTATAATTTCCACCTATTAAAAAGAATAATGCTATACAGCCCCCACGAGAGTTACAATATCTGTCTAGGTGGCACTTGACGATAGAATGAATGAAAAGTGAAATTAAATGACTTATTTAATTTCACCTATCATTTAATATCACATTAACACCATCTAAACTGAGGTTATAATTCCAATTGAATTAAATAGCATTACCCTATTAAAAATATGTTTTTATCCACCATTAAATGTGTCCAAAATAGAAATTAGAGAGATGCATGTAATTGTTTAATCATATCAAGCCTAACACATTAAATGTTGCAAGTAGAGCAAAAATAAAGTTAATGGGCTATTTGCCGTTTTTTCACTTTTTGATTAAAATTGATAAATATATCGTTTCAAAAAGTTGCGAGTTAATAAAATTTGTAGTTAAAATTAAAATTTGATCAGTAAAAAATTCGATAAATATTTTGTCAAATAAGGGTAGAGAAATATTGTATCCTCACCTGTCAAGAATATCTAAATTCAAAAACGGTTCAGGCAGCCCTTCTGCTTCAGACTTGGTTCTCACAATCCCACCGAAAAATGGCGCAAACAGAACATAGCCACGCAATCTAATCGGTGCCAACTCCGGTGACCCGGGGCCTAGCTTTACCGCCAGATGATGTGCCAGGTTTCCGCCGGAGGAATCACCCACTATAAAAACCCTACCGAAGTCAACTCCATCTTTCAACCATGCATCAGAATTATTCTCCTCCAGAATTTCATTTTGCAGCCACTTGACAGAATTTAGTGCATCATCCACGGCAGCGGGGAGGCGGTGCTCCGGCGCCAGACGGTAGTCAGGCGCCACCACGAGTGCTTGCAGCCCCGAAGCGAGGCGGAGGCAGCAATTATGACAGTTGGGCCACGTCCGTGAACCCACAATAAAGCCACCGCCGTGGAGGAAGAAGACAATGGGAAGCTTGGTTGTGGGATTGGGTGCCGACCACGGTTTGTAGAGGCGGAGGTGGAGGTCGTGTTTCTTATCATATAGGCAGTCTTTCCAGTTCACAGAACCATCGTCATGGACTTTCATGGGGAAAATTATGTCTTTTTCTTCAATTCTGAAAATGGAACCATTACTAAGAATCTGAAGAATTCCTAGGTGATCTTCTACTACATGAGGAAGAGAACCCATAGATCTTTCTTGGTAGAGGATGGTTATGAAATGAGCAAAAGGGAGCCTATAAATAAGCAGGGACTTGGATGATATCCATATATTTTGAATAAGTCAATTATTTATTTATTTTTTACCTATAAATAAGAAATAAAATAATTTAATAATAATAATAATAATAATAATAATAAAACATTGCAAATGCAATCCATTTAGACTTGACCCTGATTTAATTATAGAAAAATCTGTCAAGCACACCATCAAGATCCAATAGTGATTACTTTTTTTACAAAAAATATTACTTTCTTTCAATCTCGATTCACTATAATATGAAAAATAATCTAATCTACTCTCCCACTAAGTCACGGTCTCTATCATACTAAAGTTTATTATCATGAAAAAGAATCAAGATTCAACAACAGTGTATATTACACATTAATAATAATTAGGTGATTTGTTTTCAATAATAAGACATCAAGATCAAGTTTAATGTCAACATTCTAATGTTTTTCAAATTAGCAATTGACAACATACATACAAGATTTTAAATTGTTTCCTAGTTGATAATATTGTTCGATGCTCTGTAGCCAATCTATTTAGTAAACAAGTTCAGCGTCCATATAATTATAGGGTGCCACTATTTGCATCCACGATTTTCATATATCTATCCACTTTTAAAAAATTTATATATTTCACATTTCGCCTTATGTAAATTTAATTACATAAACAGACAAAAAAATCTATCACTCTTAATTCATCCACTAATATTTTGGACGTTTTATATCCTTTTTGATTTTACGTTTAACTAAAATCATAATATTTATAAAATATCACTTTCAATTAAAACCAAAACAAATAATGTAAGAGACAACATTACAAGATATGCATACAAGAAATACATAGTTATAGAAGGACACAGTCGGCTTGAAATTATTTTAATACTTTTGACAATAAATATTTTGTTTATAGTTAATTAACTTAGTTAAAAAATTTAAACAATTAAAACAATTTTTTTTCTTTCATAATCATTCTTAATGACCAATAATATAGCCGTTGAATGTCGTAAACTATTTTGGCACCAAATTAAAGTTGTTAAACACATTGTCATAAACTTTCAATGACCAAAAAAATCAGTTGTTGAATGTTACCTTTAACGACTATTTAATACTAGTCGTTGAATGTCGAAAATTATTTTGATGCCAAATTATATTTGGTAACTAGTTTGTCATAAACCTCTAATGACTAAAAATAATTGGTCGTTGCATATCACCTTCAACGGCCACTAGTTAAATAGTTGTTGAATACAACGAGATTATGGTCGTTGAATATTTACTATATTATATGTGTTTCTAACAATCAATTTTGTTGTCGTTGAATATGCAATGATATTTTAGCAGGAAATTTTTACTTGGCTCCCACTCACAATGACCAATTTTTATTTGGTTGTCAAAAATATAGAATTAATAACTAATTTTTTGGTCGTTGTGAGATATTTTCAACTAATTTAAAATTCTATTGTTCATCATTCAATTTCTACGACCAAACTTATAATTTAGTTTTTCAAAAGAGTTTTTAACGACCAAATTGATGTGGTTGTTAAAACATTAGTTGTAAAATATCATTTTTCTTGTAGTGAAGCTAAGAAAATGATTTGGATGAAAAGGTCATCAGAGTCAAGATGTGATAATTAATTGAAAGTTAAAGATAATAATGCAACGAAAAATGTAGAGACGGTTGTGAAAATGTATAAAACTGGGAATCTTGCAATTAACAAAATTTTTAGTGCAAATATAATTACACTTGTCAAGCATCTACACTTTCTATATGCTGTAGATGTAAGTATAAATAATCATTATGGTAAATGTCTTTTGTTTGGTCAAAATTGAAAATAAGATCACTATTTTACTATCATACAAAACACTTTTAAAAAACAAGTTTAGTTGTAAGCAAAGCCGAATAAGCACACAATCATAAGACGTTCCTAGTAAACCATCATATCCAAAACCTGCCAGCCAATAATGTTACAATGAACACCTTCGACTATGTAAACAAAGAAGCGAGAGAAAAGGAAAACTCAAGCACTCGTACTTGGTACTATTACAAGATCAAACTTAATCATCTGAATTTCTAGTAATGAAATTCTTTAATTCTTGTAATACTTTGTCACCCACTTCTGAGAATGGTTCATTTGTAAAGAAACCATGTTGCTTTCCTTGGAACACAACACAATGAATTTTCTTTCCCTCTTCTTTCAATTTTTTGACATAATCCTCAATTCTATCCTTCATCAACTCACTTCCTCCTAGAATTACCAGCATCGGGTCAAGCTTTATGGATTCAAGACTTGGACTTAAAGGCCCAAAAGGGTTTGCAAACGGATGATCTCGAGTGCTCCCATCTGGTAACGATAACCTCCAAAATCTGTCAATTAAATAATAATTAATTAAAAAAATCGTTTAGACTTGACCCTGATTTAATTATAGAAAAATCTGTCAAGCACACCATCAAGATCCAATAGTGATTACTTTTTTCACAAAAAATATTACTTCCTTTCAATCTCGATTCACTATAATATTAAAAATAATCTAATCTACTCTCCCACTATACCACAGTCTCTATCATACTAAAGTTATTATCATGAAAAAGAATCAAGATTCAACAATAGTGTATGTTCCACATTAATAATAATTACGTGATTTGATTTCAATAATAAGTCATCAAGATCATGTTTAATGTCAACATTCTAATGTTTTCCACATTAGCAATTGGCAACTTACATACAAGATTTTAAATTGTTTCCTAGTTAATAATATTGTTCGATGCTCTGTAGCCAATCTATTTTATAAACAAGTTTAATTAGTGTCCATACTCCATATAATTTATAGGGAGCCACTATTTTCATCCACCATTTTCATATATCTATTCACTTTTAAAATTTTTATATATTTCACATTTAACCTTGTGTAAATTTAATTACATAAATAGACACACAAAAAAAATAAAAATAAATAAATAATCTATCACTCTTAATTCATCCACTAATATTTTGGACCTTTTATATCCTTTTTGATTTTACGTTTAACTAAAATCCTAATATTTATAAAATATCACTTTCAATTAAAGCCAAACAAATTGTGGAAGAGACAACATTAAAAAATATGCATACAAATATAGTAATTTTCATTTGGAGATGGAGACTCTGTGAGTGTTAAATAAGCTTTATTTTAAACTCGTAGTTAGTTTTCGTTGAATAAAATGTATAAGTTTAGAGATTTTAACCTCTCTTTGATCACAAAAGGTATTCAATTATTTGTGAATCAAAGATTTGTAAGAAATAATGGCTGGGTCACGATTGTAAAATTTCTGAAGTAAATTTCGAAGTTGTATGCTGGATTTAAATTCTATTACTTGCTTATTGAATTCCAATTCAACAAGCTTCCATTTATTAAATTTGCTCACTGACAATTTCTCACACGATATAACCTCTGTATAGTGGACTAAATTTTAGTTTCATTCCTGTTGCACCAGTGTGTAAGTAATCAAGACAATAATTTGATTCTATAATTTTGTTAATTCCCAAAAGTTTACTTGGTAAACATTAATTCATTCATGTAATTTTTTTAATTTGCTTTTGGTTAGATTTTGTGGATATATAATATTTAAATGAATGAATTTAATAAAAGTAATGTTGGAATGTAATGGGAGATGAATATATTATATTTTTAAAATTATAAAATTTTAATAAGGATAGATTTGGAGTGGATGAAATATAAAGGTGGTGTTGATATATGAATAGAGTTTAAATGAATTAATTTAATAAGGGTATTATTAGAATGTGACGTGGATAAATATAGTACTTTTAAATTTTAATAAGGATAGATTTAGAGTAGGATAGATATATAAGAATGGTGGATTAGAAATACGGGACCCTAGTTATAATTTCCACCTATTAAAAAGAATAATGCTATGCAGCCCCCACGAGAGTTACACTATCTGTCTAGGTGGCACTTGACGATAGAATGAATGAAAAGTAAAATTAGATGACTTATTTAATTTCACCTATCATTTAATATCACATTAACACCATCTAAACTGAGGTTATAATTCCAATTGAATTAAATAGCATTACCCTATTAAAAATATGTTTTTATCCACCATTAAATGTGTCCAAAATAGAAATTAGAGAGATGCATGTAATTGTTTAATCATATCAAGCCTAACACATTAAATGTTGCAAGTAGAGCAAAAATAAAGTTAATGGGCTATTTGCCGTTTTTTCACTTTTTGATTAAAATTGATAAATATATCGTTTCAAAAAGTTGCGAGTTAATAAAATTTGTAGTTAAAATTAAAATTTGATCAGTTAAAAATTCGATAAATATTTTGTCAAATAAGGGTAGAGAAATATTGTATCCTCACCTGTCAAGAATATCTAAATTCAAAAACGGTTCAGGCAGCCCTTCTGCTTCAGACTTGGTTCTCACAATCCCACCGAAAAATGGCGCAAACAGAACATAGCCACGCAATCTAATCGGTGCCAACTCCGGTGACCCGGGGCCTAGCTTTACCGCCAGATGATGTGCCAGGTTTCCGCCGGAGGAATCACCCACTATAAAAACCCTACCGAAGTCAACTCCATCTTTCAACCATGCATCAGAATTATTCTCCTCCAGAATTTCATTTTGCAGCCACTTGACAGAATTTAGTGCATCATCCACGGCAGCGGGGAGGCGGTGCTCCGGCGCCAGACGGTAGTCAGGCGCCACCACGAGTGCTTGCAGCCCCGAAGCGAGGCGGAGGCAGCAATTATGACAGTTGGGCCACGTCCGTGAACCCACAATAAAGCCACCGCCGTGGAGGAAGAAGACAATGGGAAGCTTGGTTGTGGGATTGGGTGCCGACCACGGTTTGTAGAGGCGGAGGTGGAGGTCGTGTTTCTTATCATATAGGCAGTCTTTCCAGTTCACAGAACCATCGTCATGGACTTTCATGGGGAAAATTATGTCTTTTTCTTCAATTCTGAAAATGGAACCATTACTAAGAATCTGAAGAATT